CCCAGAGAAGCTGTGGCTGCCCCCTCCCTGGCAGTGTTCAAGGCCAGGCTGGATGGGGCTTGGAGCAACCTGGTGTAGTGGGAGGTGTCCCTGCCCGTGGTGTGGGGAGTTGAAACTGGATGGTCTTTAAGGTCCCTTCCAACCCAAATCATTCTATGATTCTAAGCCCCAAGCAGTCACTGCAGTTTACTCTCATTTGTTTACTAGAAACAGTACTTGTGGTTTTATTTGAGACCTAATAATTTTAAATACGTTGTGTGAAAAGATATAGCTTCAACATGGTATATCCTGGCATACTGTAGTCTGCAGTGAGTTTTGAATGTCTGTACATGGGGGAACAGAAGCTTTTTGGATCCTAATGTTTGCTCTAAAGGCTAGTCCTTTTTCCTTTTAGGTGTGTTCAGAGGAGGGCTCAAATAGGGGATGCTTTGAAGGTTTTTGGAGTAGTTATGGAATTATTCCAGTCATCTTGGTTTCACTGAGCTGTATTTAGAGTGCATGCATTGTATACTCAGATTCTGCAGAACTTAAGCAGAAAGTGTTATGTGGGGCTTATAAAACCTGAAATGATAAGTAAATGGTTTATGCCTCTATGGTGTTCTTTGCATGTATGCAGCTTCCCAGACCATCTTGCTTACAGGAGGTGTTTGTATTAGTGCAAATGTGTCATTTGTAGAAGATGGCAAGTTATAGTTCCTCAGAAAAATTGTTAAAAGATTTGGTACTGATTTATGACCAATTTTCTCCTTTCTGCTGATGAGGATTGGTGACAAATACTTCAGAAGAATGAAACTTAAGGTTTAAATATGGATGAAATCTGTGCAAAAAGCTCTTCTGCATGTGAATATTGAATTTAGAGGTGTTCTCCTAGCAAGCTGGCTTCTGTATCTCTATGCCTGCAGTCCATGCTAACACTGCTAGCTATTGTGCAAGATCCTGAGCAAAAAAATACCACCACTCATTCAGTAGATGTAGTATTTTTAGTGTTAGTGAACTGAGTGTGCTGTGTGAGGATGAACTAATCACTACAATAATTGAAAAATCTGTCAACTGTTTGGGGTACCGGTTTGTGTTGAGTATGGCAAACTTGGGTATCCAGAAAGTGGTGAGGAAAAACTAAGTTTGTTTCAACTCTATGAATAGAATAGTGCTTCTCCACATAAATGATCCTGCACTTCAATGGGATCAAAAAAGCAAGTTAAACTCTGTTACGGATTGTGTAACTTAATATCTGAAAATGAAACTAACTACATGTATAAGTGACTTTGCTAGCAGAAATTATCTCTTTGTTTATGTTTGCCAGTGATGACTCTGGCAAGCAAAGGCACCTCTGCTGTTTAGGTACATAGATAGGATTAATGAAATATCAATCTTTTTTTGTGTGATAAATGTCTCTGGTCTAAAACAGCCCAGCAGTGCATTACCCCCATTCAGAGAGCTTACTAGACCTGACATGGGGTTAA